TCGTCGACGTACACGAGGATGTAGAACGGCGGGGAAGAGGTGTCGGTGCGCAGAAACAGCGACGGGTCGGCAGTAGAAGGAACGAAGCCAAGAGCCGCAAGTGTAGTCCTCAGTGTGTCGTGCCACTCACGGGGCGCCTGGCGGAGACCGTAGACTGGCCGCCGGAGGCTCCACTGGGTACCAGGGGGAAACGACCCAGTGAAGCCAGGTGGGCGGCGCAGCCAAATCTCCTCATGCAGGCTGCCCTGCTAGAAAGTTGTACTGAAGTCAAGAGAGTGAAGCTCGTAGTCGCGCTGAGCGGCTATGTGCAGCAGCACCCGAAGAGTGGTCATCCTCAAGGTGGGAGAGAAGGTCTTAAAGTAGTCAACTCCCTGCCGCTGACTGAAGCCTCGAGCCACGTAACGCGCCTTGAAGACAGGCGGAGAACCGGGCGGCCGCTTTACCCTAAAAATCCGCATGCCACTGACGATGTTTTCCCCAGGTGGGGGAACCTCGTCGACGTAGGCGCCTGTGGACTTCCAGGAAGCCATCTCTGTGTCCATGGCTGACTGCCACTGAGGAGTAGGGACCCTCAATCGCCTCAGCGTACGATCGAGGGGTCGGGATGTCTGGTGCATCCGGGTCTCCCTCAGGGGCAATCAGCGTGGACACGAGATAAGGCAAAGTAGCAACAAAACACTAGAACTCCTCCTGCCTGTCCTCAAGGACGTCCGTGCTAAGAGCACACTCACCCTCGACGGACGGAGGACAGGTAGAGTCAGACTCAGCAACAAGACTGGCGGCGTAGTTTAGACGACAGCGAGCAACAAAGTCGACAAGCTCAGCAACCAAGGCAGACGCAGCAGTGGACTCAAAGGATGGGTCAGTGACAACCGCAGGAGGACGTTGTGAGAGTACGATGGCTTATGCCAACTACGCTTGTTTGCCTTTACTTTATCATGCTATTTCTAGCATAGGATAATCATATGCATGCATGAATTGCTTGATTTCCTAGGCTAGGTGCTTTCGTCGACTCGAGGCTTTTCTGACAAGCCAACCAGGATTCGCCACCGCAGCAGTAGCGACCGCAGCGGCTGCAGCACCGACAGCTCCAGCAGCAGTGGCGACACCGACATTTCACGGACCAATGGCACCACTGTCGCCGAACCTCGAAGCAGCACGACCGAGGCTCCTGGAGGTGTTCGATCCAAGCGCGAAGGGATCCGACGTCTGGCGATTTGTGGCCACCCTCGAAATTTACTTCGAGGCCATTAGCTCTTCGACCCCGCAACACGACGCAGCAAGGATTCGGCTTGCAGCGACACTGTTACGTGGACCGGCTCTCGAATGGATTTACTACACCGACGTAGCCCGCGGTGAGAAAACGAAGCAGCAGTGTTGGGCAGTTTTAATCGAGCGTTTCGAACCTATTAATACAACCTACATGGCGCGGCAGCAGATACACCGACACAAGCAATACAGTAGTGTAACACAGTACACGCAGCAGATGGAGTTACTGTTCAACCGCATCACCGACCTGACCAAAGGCGAAAAAATCCAGGCGTACACCGAAGGGATAAAAATGGAGATTCGGCGGCAGATGATTGCGGTGAATTACATTAGCTACAGAGACATCGTGCGTGCTGCGGAGCGATACGACGCGCTGACTCGAGGTCAACCCGAAACACGACGTTTCACGCCGAACCGTACATTCGGCACGGAGCGATCGGCACCCCGGACGTTCGCCGAACCGATGGATATCGACAAAGACGTCGCGAAGCAGCAGCCGACAAAATGCGAATTTTGCGGCGGAGCAGGACATCAGTTTTTGCCGTGCTACAAAATGAAGAAAGCACGTGCGGCACTCCGGGACGGAAACAGTGGAGCACCCTCGAAGTAAAAAAACGGGAATCGCCAGTAGCTGCGGATCGACCTGGCGATCGCGTAAAGATCCGAAAAGCAGGGAAAGGCAACGACGTGGCGACTTCGGAGCGGGTGAAAAAATGAGAAAATGATGGCGCGAATCTAAAACATCACGACCGGCCGGCATCAAGGGAAATCGCCGAGGCGAATAGAGGCTCCGCGAAAAAAGACTCTGCACCGATTGGGAAACTCCAGCCGAACACCGACGAAAGTAATAATTCGTTAAAATTATCCTATAAAGATGCTCTAACGAAGAATATTGCTTCTCGTGGTTTTCAAGCCTTCAAAAAATTCACGGGAGGTTTAGAGGCCAAGAAAAAGCCTTAAGAAATTATTCAGGTACCTGAGAAGCTGGGCAAAGTACTACGGAGCGTAGGAAAGGGTCGTGCGTTCCGTGGCGTTAATATTCTCTCCCCGCAGCTCAGTGTTAAGGCTCCCCGTTGCCCACAGGTGAAGCCTACACAGCTGCCAAGGCTTAGAGGAGACATCCAGGCTCAGGAGAAATTATACAAGCTTGGGAAAAATCCTCCTACCCCACAGGTGAAGTTGGAAAGCGCTGAGTCAGGTATAGGAAAAAGGGAAGGTATTAAGTTTGATGTACCCTATGATCCTATTAACGAGACCCTCTTTGGCTACTCAGCGCAGCAGAAACCACTACTCCTCGAGGTGTTATGCAATGGGCGATGCCTCCAGGCACTGGTGGACAGCGGTGCATCTCACTTGGTGTGTGACCGCAAAGCATTGGAGAAAATTGGAGAAAAGGCGGAAGAGACCCAGTTTTCAGCGACCATGGTGGACGGTACGAAGCTTCCCATCCACGGCGAAGCATCACTGCAGCTGCATATAGGTGCGTTGAGGTGGAAGCCAAAGCTACCAGTCACCAACATCAAAGGATTAGATTTTATCTTGGGGCGGGATTTCCTGAAGCGGTTCAACCCCGAGATCGATTGGGTCAACAGCAAGGTGTGCATCTACAACAACGGGAAGCGGATAGCACTGCGAAGCTGGACCGATACAGGGGACGTACCTGAAACGACACTGGCACGGCTCGAACAGACGGTGAACGAGAGTAACACAGGTTACCTAGCACTGGTTATGGCAGCCCTAGAGGAGGAGAAGCCGAGTTCCGAGCTACCTGCAGTAGTAAAGGAGGTCTTGGAGCAATACGGGGATATAATGCCCGACGACCTACCTGCAGGCGTACCTCCAGCACGCACCCACGAGCACGAGATCGTGGAGGAACCAGGTGCGAAACCCGTCTCACGTGCACCATACCGACTGAGTCCGACTGATCTGACCGACATGAAAAAACAGATAGAGTATCTACTGGACAGACAACTGATCCGCCCATCCACCTCTCCCTCCGGTGCACCAGTTCTCTTCACTCCAAAACCAGACGGCAGTCTACGGATGTGCATCGACTACCGCGCACTGAACAAACAGACAGTAAAAAACAAATATCCCATTCCGCGCATCGACGACTTACTGGACCAACTACGTGGTGCAACAGTCTTCTCGAAGCTGGACCTACGGTCGGGTTACTGGCAGATCAAGATGGCAGACAACTCAATCCACAAGACGGCGTTCCGTACCAGATATGGCTCCTATGAATACTTGGTGATGCCGTTCGGACTCTGCAACGCACCAGCAACGTTTCAGGCGGAGATGAATCACATCTTACGACCCCTGCTGGACGAGTGCGTGGTGGTGTACCTGGACGACATTCTCATCTACTCCAAGAACATGAAGGAGCACGTGGAGCATCTGCGGAAGTGTCAGAACATTATAGCTCATGCATATTGTGTAGGCTATAGTGGGGTAGCCCATAAGGGGTACAACCCAATTAGGGTTAGTACTTGTACCCAATTCATTCATAGTTCAATCATTCTCGTTTCTTCTCATGGTATCGAGCAGGTTCCCTAACGGGAACGATTCCTAGGGCCCACCACTACGAAATTTTTTTCCCTGCCCGGAGCGCGCTCCGCTTAGGACCAAGTCGCGCCTCGTGTGCATTTCTTACCGTCGCGCCCTCGCTAGGCCCCTCACGGCCCCGTCGCGTCGCCCTTAGCGGCCCCGTCGCGCTGCCCTAGCGGTCGCGTCGCGCCGCCCTAATGGCCGCGTCGCACCGCCCAAGCCGCCCTCACGGCCCCCTAGCGGCCTCTTGCGGCCCCGATCCGCCGCTCTTGCGGCCCCGATCCGCCGCCCTTCGCGGCCCGTCGCCGCTCTCCCCCTGCGGCCCCTCGCCGCCCTTTCACCAGCGGCCCCGTCGCCGCCCTTGCACGGCCCTGACGTCGCCCTCCCTGCGGCTCTGTCGCCGCCCTCTTCAGCGGCCCGTCGCCGCCCTTCTCAGCGGCCCCGCCGTCTCCTTTCAGCGGCCCCACCGTCTCCTTTCAGCGGCCCCGCCGTCTCCTTTCAGCAGCCCCGCCGTCTCCTTTCAGCGGCCCCGCCGTCTCCTTTCAGCGGCCCTGCCACTACCCCTGCAGCGGGCTCGTTGCCGCCCTTTCAGCGGCCCCGCCGCCTCCTTTAAGCGGCCCCGCCGCCTCCTCTCGGCGGCCCCGCCGCCTCCTCTCCGCGGCCCCGCCGCCTCCTCTCCGCGGCCCCGCCGCCTCCTCTCGGCGGCCCAGCCGCCTCCTCTCAGCGGCCCCGGACACCGCCCTCTCAGCGGCCCTTCCGCCGCCTCCTTTGCGGCCCCGCCGAGCCGCCCAGCAACAAAGCCGCTGAGCCGCCCAGCAGCCGAGCCGCCGAGCCGCCCAGCCACCGAGCCGCCCAGCAGCCGAGCCGCTGCGCCACCCAGCACCCGAGCCGCCGAGCCGCCCAGCCGCCGAGCCGCCCAGCAGCCGAGCCGCCGAGCCGCCCTGCAGCCGAGCCTCCGAGCCTCCCAGCAGCCGAGCCGCCGAGCCGCCCAGCAGCCGAGCCGCCGAGCCACCCAGCAGCCGAGCCGCCGAGACGCCCAGCTGCCGAGCCGCCTACCGCCCAGCTGCCGAGCCGCCGAGTCGCCCTGCAGCCGAGCCGCCCAAGCCGCCCTATCTGGTAAGAGCAGCGCCTCTGACACTGCACTGCCCTCACCCTACTGTTCGCGCTGCTAGTCTACTGCTGTCATGGCTACCCGTAGTGTCCTCGCTTTTGACGCTAAGGGTCGGGCCATTGACTTTGACGTCTGGATAGATGACCTGCAGCTTTTCTTACAGTGCGATAGGGCGGACGGTCTCTCTCTCTTTGACCTCACCTCTGGTGCCTCTCCTGCCCGTGCTGCTCATGCTTACGCCACTATCCGCTCACAGTGGGCCACGCGCGATGCTGCTGCACGTCGTGCTGTGCGTCGCCACCTGCCTACCTCTGAGCGTGCGCACTTTAGTCAGTACAAGAGTGCTCAGACCTTGTACGACGCTGTAGTTGCACGCTACTCCTCCCCTGCCACTGCTGCACTGAGCCGCCTCATGCTACCGTACCTCTTCCCTGACCTTGCTGCCTTTCCCACAGTCGCTGACCTCATTACGCACCTTCGCACTAGTGACACTCGCTACCACGCTGCGCTTCCTGCCGAGTTCTACGCCAAGAACCCCCCCCCCCCCCCATGTACATCACTCTCTACTACATAGTCACCTGCCTCCCTTACTCCCTTCGCGTAGTCAGGGACCACTTTCTCTCAGTCTGTCCCACCACTCTCACTGTTGACCTCCTCGAGAAGGCCCTCCTAGCAGCTGAGAAGAGCATAGTCGCTGTAGGGGCCTCTCGTGGTGACCCGCGCACCCCCATCTTTGAGGGGTGTTCCCCCTCCCCTCTTTTGTCCTCTGTTGCCTCTGCTGCTGCGGCCGACCTCGTTGACCTGGAGTCGGTCGGTGCGGCGTCTACCCCTAGTGGGAAGCGACGCTCTGGCAAGGGCATGGGGGGCAGGGGCGCTGGAGGAGCTAGCAGGGGCGGTGGAGGCGGCAGTGGAGGCAGTGGAGGGGGTGGGGGTGGTGGTGGGAGTGGTGGCGGGGGTGGAGGTGTCGACGGCGGCAGTGGAGGCGGAGGCGGCGGCGGCGGTGGCAGTGGGAGCGGAGGTGGTGGAGGTGGCGGAGGTGGAGGAGGCGGTGGCGGAGGAGGAGGAGGAGAAGGAGGTCGTGGCTCTTCGTAGAGGAGTGGCTCCGGTGGTGGTCAACGCCAGCAGCAGCAGCGCAGTCAGGAGACCGTGTCCCCTCAGCAGCTCCATGAGTGGTACGTTAATTGGGTTGTACCCCCTATGGGATACCCCACTATAGCCTACAGAAACAAGTAAGCTATAAGTTCTGACACACCCCCATAGGCAAAGTGGGGGAGAACAAGGGGTCACAAGACCAGTCAAGCAAAGCAAAGCAAAGCTCAGGGTGGATCACAAAGTCACCACGCATTCCGAGCACAAGTTCAAAGGCCACAAGGCCAGTTCACATGCAAGATCATATATAGAGATATACAAGAGCAAGAGTATATATATGCGAAAGTACAAGCAAGGTCAAGAGGAGAGCAAGTGAGGCAAGACAGGCACAAGACCCAACTGCGTGCAGCAACGCTGATGATCACAAGGCGCAAGTGCCTTGGTGAAGACATCAGCAGTGTTGGCCTCAGAGGCCACGTACGCAAGTCGCAGCTGTCCACGCTGCTGTAGCTCACGAGCAAGAAAGTAGCGAAGAGCAATGTGCTTCGTTCTGTGCTCCAGTCGCTGCTCTCGACACAAGGCCAGCATGGCCTTGTTGTCTACGTACAGGACTGGAGGAGAACGAGGCTGCTCTCCAAGGTCGGTCAGCAGGTAGGTGAGCCAGCGTAACTCCTGTGCAGCCATAGCCCCAGCGTAGATCTCAGCCTCACAACTGGAGCCGAGAACAGAAGACGAGCGGGTAGCCCGCCACGAGACAGAGCCGGAACCAAGGCTGAAGGTGTAACCCTGTGACGACCGCTGCGTAGCCTGGTCGTCAGCCCAAGAAGCGTCTGCGTGCCCAGTGAGGACCACTGGACTGCGCCCTCCAAGCACTAGCCCCATGCCCGATGTACTGCACAAGTAGCGCAACACCCTCTTCGCTGCAGCCATGTGCTTTGGTCGGTGTCTCCCAGGAGCAACAAAGCGTGCGAGAATGCTAAGAGGGTATGCGAGGTCAGGTCGTGTGCAGGTCATCAGGTACATGAGGCAGCCAACAAGCTCTGCAAACGGGCCACTCGACTCTACGGACTCATCCGAAGGCAGAGCTGAGAGCGAGTGGCGAGTAGGCAGAGGAGTGGCCTGAGGCGAGGAGTACGTGAAGCCGAAGCGCTGAAGGACCTGCTGCACCATGTGTGACTGAGTCAGGGTAATGGTGCGGCGTGCTCTGTCCCGGGTGATCTGCAAGCCAAGGTAGCTGCGCAGTTCACCCAGGTCAGTGCACGTGTGTCTCTTCTGCAGCTCGGACTTCACGTAGGCGAGTCCAGCAGTGTCAGCTGTGGCAAAGACCAAGTCGTCGACGTACACGAGGATGTAGAACGGCGGCAGAGAGGTGTCGGTGCGCAGAAACAGCGACGGGTCGGCAGTGGAAGGAGCAAACCCAAGTGCCGCGAGCGTAGTCCTCAGTGTGTCGTGCCACTCACGTGGCGCCTGGCGGAGACCGTAGACTGGACGCCGGAGACTCCACTGGGTACCAGGAGGGAAGGACCCAGTGAAGCCAGGTGGGCGACGCAGCCAGATCTCCTCGTGCAGGCTGCCCTGCAAGAAAGCTGTGCTGAAGTCGAGAGAGTGCAGCTCGTAGTCACGGTGAGCAGCAACGTGTAGCAGAACCCGAAGAGTGGTCATCTTCGGGGTGGGGGAGAAGGTCTGAAAGTAGTCAACCCCCTGCCGCTGACTGAAGCCACGAGCCACGTAACGCGCCTTGAAGACAGGCGGAGAACCCGGCGGCCGCTTCACCCTGAAAATCCACATGCCACTGACGATGTTCGCCCCAGGAGGGGGAACAGCGTCAACGTAGGTGCCTGTGGACTTCCAGGAAGCCATCTCTGCATCCATAGCTGCCTGCCACTGAGAGGAGTAGGGACCCTCTATCGCCTCCGCGTAAGAGCGCGGAGTCGGGATGTCTGGTGCATCCGGGTCTCCCTCAGGGGCTAGCAGTACAGACGCGAGACGAGGTGAAGCGGCGGCCAGACACTGGAACTCCTCCTGCCTGTCCTCAAGGACGTCCGTGCCAAGGGCACACTCACCCCCGACGGACGGAGGACAGGCGGACGCAGACTCAGTGACAAGACGAGCAGCGTAGTCTAGACGACAGCGCGCAGCAAAGTCGACAAGCTCAGTGACAAGGGCAGACGCAGCAGACGACTCGAAGGAGGGGTCAGTGACAGCAGTAGCCAGGAGATACGTGACAGTAGGACTGGCAGCACGAAGAGCGTCCGACTCCGGGTCGGCAAGAGCAGGAAGAGAGGAAGCAGGAGGAGAAGGCAAAGGGGCACGCAGAGGAGCAGTGGACGGACGCAGTGACATCCGGTGCGTGCCAAGGACAGGAGGAGGACGCTGACGCGAGCCGCGACCACTAGCGCGCTCAGTACGAACAGGCGACACAGGACGAGACGCAGGCTCACGACGCTCAGTAAGACCTCCAGTCGGACCAGCGTAGGGAGAAGGAGCAGGCAAAGGGGAGGCAGGCTGTAGCTGTGGCTGTGACCGGACAGGCTGCGGACCCTCTAAGGGAGGAGGAGGAGGTGTAAGACCAAGAACCTGCTGCAGGAGCGGAACGAAGTACGGTCGGGGCCGCGCGGCGACGCTAGAAACAGCAGGAACAGCACCAACAGCCCCGGCAGGAGCACCCACTCCAGCAGCACCTCCAGCAGCACCACCAGAAGCTCCAGAACCTCTTGCCGCAGCACCAGAAGCACTGTCAGTCGTGCCGCCAACGGCAGGCTCAGCGCCTACACCCTCAGCAGGACCAGCTCCAGGAGAACTCTCAGACTCAGCACCTCCAGCACCCACAGTACGAGCGCCGGCGGGGCGCGCAGCAGCAGTACCCTCTGCACCAGCAGCACGCCTCCAGCGCCCGGCAAACCACTCACGCAGCTCCTGTGGGGAGAGTGGCTCCCGGCGAGACGAAGCACCCCCAGGCACAGCACCTCCAGGCTCAGCACCCCTAGACACAGCACCCCCAGGCTCAGCACCCCCAGGCACAGCACCTCCAGGCACAGCACCTCCAGGCTCAGCACCCCCAGGCACAGCACCCCCAGGCTCAGCACCCCCAGGCTCAGCACCCCCAGACTCGGCACCTCCAGGCTCAGCACCCCCAGACTCCGCACCCCCAGGCTCAGCTCCCGCAGCAGCACCAGAGTCACCAGTGACCTCGACAGGCTCGACCGCGTCTACCTGGGACACACCTGAAGGGGCAGGACCCTGAGGGGGGAGGGGGACTACCGGGGGAGGACCTGGTACCAAGAAGAGCGGGGGTGGGGGGAGGGACGGAGTGCGGTAGGGGAAGAGGCGGTAGTAGGGTACCGACTCGTCGAACGTGACGTCCTGGGAGGACAGAACACGTCGAGAGGTGGGGTGGTAAAACTGCCACCCAGGGGCGTCGGGGGGGAACCCCAGGAAGACGCAGGGAGAAGCACGAGGGGACAGCTTGTCCGCAGACAGGTCGCGAACAAACGCCCGAGATCCCCAGACCCGGAACGCCGACGCATCGCCAACCTTCCCAGTCCACAGCAGGGCTGGGGAGGTCTCCGGTCGAGAGACCCTGGGGTGGAGGTTGATCTGGTGCGCAGCGTACCTGACCGCAAACGGCCACAGAAAATGGGGAGCAGCCGCATGCATCATGGACGTACGAGCGACGTCCATGACCATGCCAATGCGGCGCTCAGCAATCCCATTCTGCTGCGGTGAGTCCGGAAGCGTGAAGGTCTGACGGATGCCTCGCGCACGACAGTAGGCACTCAGGAGGCCAGAGGAGAACTCTCCGCCTCTGTCCGAGTGCAGACGCAAAACAGGGAAGTCAGAGCCAAAGCTCCTCCGAAGCTGGAGACGAGCTGCGCGGATCCAGTCGATCAACACCGCAGTGACCTCACCCTTGCTGCGCAAGGGGAAGACTGTGGTGTAACGCGAGTAGTCGTCAACCACCAGCAGGAAGTAGCGCTCCTGACCCTGTCCACGGACGCGGGCTGGGCCCCACACATCCATGTGAAGCGTCTGCAACGGGGCCTCTGTCGGAGGAAACTGGGAGGAGTGAGGGGCAGCACGCTGGCGCCCCTCGACACAGGGGACACAGGTGGGGCCAGGGCCCGGAGGGAGGGGAGGGAGAGACCGGGGAAGACCAGACACAAGGACTCGCGAGGCCATGCCTCTGAGCCGAAGCAGAGAGGGGTGGCCAAGGCGGTGGTGCCAGAGGAGGGTCTCGTGAGACAGACGACGGCACGAGCAGGGGGCAGACTCAGGACCAGACCTGGACGCTGCAGCAAACATCTGACCAGACGAAGTGACCCTACCAGACTCAGCACCTGGAGGAGAAGCAGTGGTCTGAGTGTACAGGCTCGACCCTGGCCGACGTGTAAACGTAGCCAGGTGGCGACCTGTATCCGCCTCCGTGCAGTGGGTCACCCGCTGACGAGCAGGGGTGAACTGGTGGACACCCGCATCCTGGAGGTCAGCACCACTCACCAAGTTCGTCGAGAACGAGGGGAGGTAAAGACCAGTCAGGGTGCCAGAGGGGGCCGCCGGACACGGGAGGACAGTGGAGAAGCGAGACAGGACAGGCCCCCCAGAGGGGTCAGCCAGGGACACCGCAACCGGCCGACTCAGCGGCGTGAGAGTGGTGCGGTCCCGAAAGAAGGAGCGAGACGCTCCAGAGTCAAGGGTGAAGGTGTGGGAGGCCGAAGCCGACACAGTACCTGAGAGGGCAGACTCACCAGCACCTGAGAGCACAGACGCACTGGCACCTAGAGCAGCAGCCTCACTAGTACCTGACGCGGCAGTACCAATGCCCGGGTCGGGCGGGAAACACCGGTAACAGTCATCCTCATCACTACCAATCGCAGCATACATAGCAGAGAGAATAGCATCAAAATCAAGATCATAAATAGCTACACCAGCCCTAGACAGCTCTCCCCAGCGGGGGATCTCAGCTGCCTCCGGAAACTGCTGACGCCAGGCGTCAGTCAGGCGGC